TGACATTTTGAAAGCTCAAAAATTGCTAAATTTGGTGCCCCATGTTATGTCAATCGGAAAAAAAGAATTTTTTGAAGTGTAAAATACGAGATATAGACTAAGTACAGCTTAAAATAATGAAAGCCTATGAAAGAAGGGGACCTCGAAGGCTACCTAACTTCAAAATTTGGACGCCAAAATCCCTAGGTCAAAATCTAGGTCAAATTCATAGTTTTTCCTTATTTTTGCGATTCTTACACTATATCTGAATGATTTGCTTCAAAATTTTGTATACAGGTAGGAAAGAGTGTGCCTATAGTGTTAGCCTTTTGCCGTCAGAAAGTATTTCGACCCACTTTTGAGATATGGTGTCCGAAAAGTAGGTCAAAATAAAAAATTCTCCAAATTTAACTTATGAGTTATGAATTAGGGGTAGAATTTTGTGAGGAATCCGAATCTGCAATTCAAATTTCGATCCGACTTCTTGTTCGGAAGTTATGGCGTTTTGAATTTCGAGAAAAATCGATCTGATGGTATCCTGATAGAAAGTCAAGAGTAGAGAAGAAAATATTGAAAAATGCATCCATCCTTCCTTTCTGATCCTATCCTATCCTTCCTATCTACCCTTGCTACGTATCCTCTTCCTGTTCTATTCTATCCTTCTTTCCTATTCTATCCTATCGTTCCTTCCTATTCTATCCTATCCTTCCTTCCTTTTTCACCCATCCATCTATCTTTTGCTGGATGACATAGCTTATTTTGAATGACTCGGCTAAAAAAAGTCTAGATCTGGAGTCTGAAATTGAACTCGTTCAATTTCCAAAATCTAGTTATTCTTCTACCCACGTTTTCTCCTTAACTAGAAGACATTGAGTCAAGTCCTGTATATGGTCAATTTAGGTCCAGTATCTAGTTTCTCGGAAATTGGGTCAATTTTTTATCTAGGTCAAAGGTCAAGAACTAGGTCAAATCTTACATTTTCAACATTCTATCAATTATCTTCGTCGTTATTTATCGAAACGTCTTCATTGTTTTTTCATCATGTAGCTTAGAAAAAGTCCTTTTATAAGTGTCCTTGTTTTTTTTAATTACTCTTACCGATTTTGAAGTATGGCGTCCAGAAAGTAGGTCAAAACAAAAGTTCTCCAAATTCAGGGTATGAGTTATGAATTAGGGGTAGAATTTTGTCAGGAATCTGAATCTGCAAACCAAATTTCGATCCGACTTCCGGTTCGGAAGTTATGTCGTTTTAAAAGTTCAAAAATCGCTAAATTTGGTGCCCATGTTAAGTCAATGGGAAAAAAGATTTTTTTGAAGTGAAAAATACGAAATGTAGACTGAGATCAGCTTAATTTAATGAAAGCCTTTAAAAGAAGGGAACCTCAAAAGCCATCTAGCTTCAAAAAGTTGACACCAAAATGCCTAGGTCAAAATCTAGGTCAAATCCAAAGGTTTTCCTTATTTTTGCGATTCTGACACTACACTTTAATTATATTCTTCGAAATTGTGTATACATGTAGCCAAGAGTGTGCTAATAGCGTTAGCCTTTTGCCGTCAGACAGTATTTTGACCCAATTTTGAGATATGGTGTCCGAAAAGTAGGTCAAAATAAAAAGTTCTCCAAATTTAACGATTGAGTTATGAATTAAGAATAGAATTTTCTCAGAAATCCGAATCTGCAAACCAAATTTCGATCCGACTTCCGGTTCCGAAGTTATGGCGTGTCCAAAAAGTAGGTCAAAATAAAAATTCGCCAAATTTAACGTATGAGTTATGAATTAGGGGTAGAATTTTGTCAGGAATTCGAATCTTTAAATCAAATTTAGATCCGACTTCCAGTTCGGAAGTTATGGCGTTTTGAAATTTCGGAAAATCGATCTGATGGTATCCTGATAGAAAGTCAAGAGTAGAGAAGAAAATATTGAAAAATTCATCCATCCTTCCTATCTGATCCTATCCTATCCTTCCTATCTATCCTTCCTTCGTATCCTTTCCTTCCTATCCTCTTTTATCATATCATTTCTTCCTATTCTGTTCTATCCTATCCTTCTTTCTTATTCTATCCTATCGTTCCTTCCCATTCTATCCTATCCTACCTTCCTATTTTATCCATCCATCTTATTCTGGATGACTCAGCTTATTCTGGATGACTCGGCTTATTTTAGAGTCTAGATCTGGAGTCTGAAATTGAACTTCGTTCAATTTCCAAAGTCTAGTTGTTTTAGATGTATATGTTTGATAAGTTAAATACAGTATAGGGCATCATGATACCATTTAAAAGACACTTTTTGTCACACCATCGGTGGGATATAGTCATCATAGTCGTTGTGATCATGGTCATGATCTTGATTGTGATCGTGATCGTCCCGCTATTTTGTCATCGCCATTTCACAAAAACCGCTCATCGGATATTTTCCAAATTCGCACACATGATAGAAGATATCAAGTTCTAGAGCTGATCAACTTTTGGGTGTCCATCTTGTTTTCTGGCAGCCAATTTGAAGGTTTTTCGGAAAAACTTGTCATTGCCATTTTAGGAAAACCGCTCATCAGATTTTTCTCCAAATTCGCACACATAATAGAGGATTTCAAGTTGTAGAGCTAATAGACTTTTTGGCGGCGATCTAGTTTTCTGGTGGCCATTTTGAAGGTTTTCCGATATATCTTATCATTGCCATTTTTGGAAAACCACTTGTTGGATTGTCTCCAAATTTGCACACATGATACAGTCAATATGGTACAACGAAAATGGGACTTCTGCGCATGTTAAAATTTTTCGTCAAAAAAAAGATCATAAAAGACTTTATCTATACTGAAAATCTTAGATCCAAACATAGTAGAATACGCCGTCAGTCCGCATTTGATTTTTTGAAGTGAGTTTCGTAGATCGTCAGATTTCTCCGACTGATATCGGGTTATCTCAAACTGGTTCGTTCATAAATACGAATTTCTTTACCGTTGTAAGGCGCATGCGCAAAATTGATTTATAGACCTTATTGGTTGATGGTTTTTCTCCTGCGCATGCGTGAAGTCTGATGAACACTTATGACGAAGACCGGAGCAAACATTACTAGCTCTCGAACGAAATTCCAAGATTCAGGTCATTTCGCCGTGTTTGCTAAGCGTGTATACGTGAATGACAAGCTGTTTTGAGTAGATCGGGTACCTGTTTTAGACACAACATTGATTTAGCTTGACATTGATGAGCACATTGGCACTTTTGAGCATGTTAATACAAGTTTTTACACTCTTAGCACGAGACAGGTTTTCGAAAAATCTGTTAACTGATTCACTCGATTATCGTATGGATATGTATTTCTGCTGACATTTCAACACCACATCACATAGAATTACGATGCAGAATGATAAGAAAACACAAAACAACCACTAAAATTCCACTTGTTATTTCACAGGAGGTAAAAATGCAAACTGCCTAGATTCTTTGTAAGGGTCGTTAGACATCGGATTGGCCGCCATATTTGAAATGAAAATATCACTAAATAGAGGTCTGCGCATGCCTCAACATTTCGACTGGATAGAGGATATCAAGTTTTAGAGCTGATTAATTTCTGGGCAGCCATTTTTTCTGGCGGCCATTTTGAAAGTTTTTTGATGGTGTGATCTCGTTTCCTTGTTTATATTTATTACTTATTTCCGTCATATAACAATAAATCAAAATACAAATCATTTACAGTGAACAACCTATATCTAGGTGTATATACTGTTTGATTTATAAATTGAATATAATAATAGCGCAAATAAATAAATACATATAAATAACAGTCATCAGGGAGGAGCAGGTGGAGTGGCAGCAAAATGAAGTATGGTCTTCGGACAAATACTGCTGGAGATGGTAAATTGTGATTAAATGCATTTGAGACCCAAAATGATATATTTGGTGATACTTGATAGAATCTAAATCAAGTGAATGAATCTTTATAGAAAAAATCCAACTTTGGTGTTATATCCAAAAGCATGGAAATCCTGACAATAGCGAGTATGATAATTGTGAATATCAACATTTATATGGAAAGACACCAAAATGTTGTGGCAACACTGTTAATCAGTTGTACCATTTATACACAAATTGACCAATGTTAAAAAGGTGGATATTATAAATATCCAAAATTTCGAACTGATGTTTCCTGTTACAGTCAGTCAAATTAATGATGTCAAAGGGTCATGATGAGAAGAATAGGCCTAATGGGTTGGGGCTTTGTAAAGAAACAAAAGTAACTATGGAATTGAAATTCCTTATATATATGCAGAAACACCCACACCTTTCAGAAGAGAGGAATTCACCTCAATTAGAATGCTGTATTGTAGAACATCATGTGAAAACTAAGATAGTATACTGTATACCTGTATACCTCAACAAATGTTAAGACTCGTTATAATAAGTTCAATGTATAATACTAAACATTGTATTGTCTTGTTTCTTGAGTCACATAACATGTTCAGAAGTATAAGCTGAGATTAACATGAAAAAGGTTATAAATGCTTTTTGAAAATACAATAAATGTCATTTGATTAATTTAATTGTTTAAGTTGGGAAATGATCAAATGTTTCTTCAGTGATTGCTCATTTTCAATGAAGATTCCGAGTGAAAAGTTATCCACTTTATAGCCCAGACTAGAGTCCACTCCCTTAACTATTGTATAATGCCCAAAATGGAATGACATGATTGAACCATATTTTAAGTCTTTGATCTACAATACAATAATATTTTCCATTTTTGTCTATTTCAGAAAGTTTAATTTTTAAATTTTATCCAGTTTATTTTAACATAAGAATATATGATTAAAGAGAATTCAATCAAGCTTAGTCTTATTTAAAATGATAGTAACTACATTTTAAGGTGTTAAGCGGTAACGAGTATGTGCTTGCATGCATATTTTAAGTAAATAACAAAGGTATTAAATGTTAATCTAATGAAGAGTAGTAAACGAATGATTGACTTTATGTTCAATCCCTGAGGCACATGAAAGACAGAATCGATGGTGTTGATAGGGATGATGATGTGGCAACATGACGCATCATTGACAAATATTTAAGTTATAATCCACAGATTAGTGTGAAACTGCCGCATTTGTTGTCTGACCCCAAAAGGCAACACATTCCAACAGAGAGCACAAGAAAACAACATTGATATTGGCGCATCTTACATTTGGTAAGTAATCAGTTTTAATTAATTCGATTTATTTCATGGGGAGTGTCAATTATTTTTTATTATTATCATTTAAAAAAACATTTAGATTATGTTTACTTCACAAACACACAAGCCAGAAATAGAGGCAGGTTGTTTGTAGAGAAGATATATTTCTTTTAAACTGGGAACCTTCAGGTGGATTCATGTGAAATGTCCCATTATAGTGAATCCAAAACTATTTTCTTCATTTACTTTCATTGACTTAATGATTTCTGGTCAATATTATTTAGAGCTAGAGATTAAAATTAAAAATCTAAATTTGGTGACATCTATCTTTTGACGTCACATTTATTCAGTCTCTGTTAGTCCAGTTTTTAACAGCAACAGGTATAGGAAGCTATATGCTTACTATATAATTTTTTCTAGGTTGTGATGTTGTTTCTTTTTGTGGCTTCTGCCCTGATAGTTGGTGGAACATCCGTAACCATCCAACTAAATGCTTCACAGAAAGGTATACCTTTAATATAAGATAATAAAAAATGATAAAACAATTAATTCTTCAAAAAGGAGTATGCTCTACATGCTCATAGAACATGTTTCAATTTGTTCTTTCAATTGGAAAGAATAATAAATTGGTATATTTTATATACTGTTGTAAATTGTAAATACCACAAAAATGATATGTTACAGCTCTATGCGATTCTTGTGGCTACCTAGTAGGACCAACATGCTGTTCGTATTATGTTTGTGATGCATTTCTCAACATTGCCACATTAAAAGTGTGTCCAGAACCTCTTGTATGGAACCAGGAAGAGTTGATTTGTGACTGGGATTACAATGTAAGACCTGAATGTCAAAATGATGCAGCATGTTATGCGGCTGGTGGTAAGTTAACGTAGTGAAACTCAGATCATAAATATAATTATTTACCACTCTACAGCTCTGGAATAGTTAAAACTAAAAATAATTTTTAAAATGTGCTTTGATTCTTGTATTAAAATAATTTAGTATTTTTATTTCAGAATTCATTAACACCACGTGTCCAGATGCTTTGGTTAATTCTTTAGATCCTACCAAACGTAAGGATTACATTTACATGTATTTTATGTTAAAAAAAATGTAAAAGAGTTAGGGTTGTACTAACTATTTAGGCTTCATAAATTAGTTACACTTGTTGAAAATTAAATGTTTAAGAAATAAATTATAGTTGATTCAATGTGGTGAAATTCAGCATGAGTTGGACAGAATGTCATACAAAGCAAAAATTGAAGGTGAGCGAGTGCATTTGTCCTAACACGGTGTCAAAAGAGTGTGGAAATTCACCTAAAATAATGACTATGCTGTGTTCTACCCCACTAAATTGATATATTAAGTCTGTAGGTGTGTGAAGCTTAAATATTTGTTTACAGAGTGTTGCCAGAATTTGGTTGTCTACACTAAGATAGGTAGCAATACATATCAAGTTGACGGTGAACCGATTGAAGAATGTGCTGCAGGTCAAATTTTTACTCTTGATGGTTGTTATTGTGAATATCCATGGGGGGCACGTAAGTATTTTTTTGTTTTAGTAATTGAGAGTGCTTAAGGGAATATCTAATTTAACTTCAAGTCTCGTGTGATGACTTGTCAGATACCGTTGTGTAAAAATACTTTTGATATTAGTGGTTCATCTTGACTAATATATTAGATGGCAATAGCTATTTTCTGTTTTTATGGGGGATTGAATGTAAAACTGAATTCAATGGCTCAGTCACATTGTTCCATCTGAATAACCTTTTTTGTGAAATGTACTTTTTTTCTTTTCAGCACGTACATTACCAACTTTATACTGGCCATTTTCAAATGGATTTGTGGAAGTGCATCAGAACGTGTATACAGACTCAGGTAGTGCTGCCCTTAATAATCTAACAGGAAAACGTGATGACTATGTGAGCTTTACTGGTGGAGAGGCACCAATACATGTGAGTATACAATTGAATATGTGAGCTTTACTGGTGGAGAGGCACCAATACATGTGAGTATACAATTGAATATGTGAGCTTTACTGGTGGAGAGGCACCAATACATGTGAGTATACAATTGAATATGTGAGCTTTACTGGTGGAGAGGCACCAATACATGTGAGTATATGATTTACTATATGAGCTTTACTTATGAAGATGGTTAATATGTGACCTTTACTTGCGGAGATGTACCAGTACATGTGAGTATATGATTTAATATGTGAGCTTTACTGGTGAAGATGTATGAATAGATGTGAGTATACATTTGAATATTTGAGCTTTATTGGTGGGATGCACCAAGTTGTAAAGTGAACATCTAGATATCTCCAAATAGACTAGATGTGAGTAGAAATAGTTTTGGTTTACATCATTAAATATTCAAAATTCAGTCAAAGTGATGTCATATTTGAAATCTGCATGTAAAGGTATATCTAGGAATATGCTTTCGAAAATTGTTCATCAACTTTGAAAATTTAATTCCTTTTGAAAATGTGTTTTCTAGTTCGAGTTGATTCCCCATCAACCACATGTTACAAAGTCACAAAAAGTGAAATATCCTTCTTGTATTGGACATATAACATTTTCTTTCACTGGACATATTTTAATTTGCATAACTATTAGATACATAAGGGTTATATGAAAATTGAACCACTAAAACCAATGTGATTTGAATTAAAGGGAACTTTCTACTATACCCGCCATGCTATCTGACCTGAAAAAAACACCTTGTGGTAAAACTGGTAATTACCACCTGCATTATTAACATTTGATGATCATCTTATATTCTCCAGCTTCCAGCTTTTGTAAATGGTGCACTTGGATCAAAGGTGACTTTGATATTCTTCGGGAGATTTTACGACTCTGGCCCCTGGGTATGGTCAGATGACTGGGCCTTATATGGCAGACGAAGAGGAATCGGCAGCAGAAGGAAAAGACAGCTTGGATTAGGTGGTATTCAGCGTAAGTGCATACCTGCAAATATAAAACTGCCCTGCTCATATCCTATAGCAATAAATGACCCAACATTTTATTCTGTCCATTGTTAAAACATAAATCGCATAAGGATAGTGGTATTTTCCAATCTGAGGTTATAAATTTGTCATAAATTATAGAATCCAGGTCTTTGTTACGATTCTAATATGATAAACCAAGAAAACCAAATATTTGCATTCATGAAATTTAGCAGTCATACATACTCCATTATAGACCAGTAATTCAATTGTTCTAGTTATTGCGATATCATGTATCAAATTAGAATTGAAGTTATTTGATATTCTAGCTCTTGGTGGAGGAGGAGAGGAGGACGAAGAATTTGATTTTTCAGATTTGGATGGCAGCATTGTTGCTACTGTAAGTATAAGCCTATATCAATTTTCACCTGATATGTGATTCAGGTTTTTGAGAGTGAAAATTACATTATGAAAATTAATTAAAGATACATGTAAAGAACATTGTTCTAGTCAAAGCACTATCATTTCAATATGCGTGTATCTAATTTCAGAAAGACGATGATGACTCGTTGCGAACGTTAGCTGGCGGGAGTCCAAGATGGAAGCTGTATGGTGTTACATGGTGTGATGGCGTGCGTACTGTCTACATAAATAACAGAATTATTGGATCTTTTACATCATTTAGCAATGGTGAGTGGAGGAGACCATGTCAATATTTCAATGTCTGTCACAAGTCATATCAGATTAGCAGGACCATAGACCTTTTATCTGAAAACACTGTGGCACAACTGAGTAAAATGATTGATAGAAATATTAAAAATCATTTAAATTGATATCACCATATCCTTTGAATAATTAAAAGAAGATTTAAAAGAGTTTGGTGGTGGCAGTTGTGACATTTCTTATCAACATATCAGTACAATGGTAACCTCTGTAATTGTTCCTCATCTATTTCTAGTTGATGTTCAGTTGGGAAAAAGTGGTCTGAACTTTGGAGGACAGGGATTTGAGGCAGATATGGATGAGGTAAATTATACTTAAGAATAGCCAAAGACTATTCATGTTCTTCAAATGTTGCTTATTGTGCTTCATTTTAAGGCCTGGCTCTCATAATAAAACATGCTTCAAATGATGACACTTTAGGTTGATATTATATGACTGCTATATTGTTTGCTTCATTGAACACTACAATAGGCCTATTTATAAAAATATAAAGGATTCCATCAGTTTTGACGAAGTTTTCAAAAAGGGTTGTAATTTTAGTCACCATGGTAACAATATGTAATATACTAGGCAGCTAGGATGCATTAAACATATTATATGAAAATGCAAAATGAAAATTACATACTTGATCTTATTTCAGATTCTCATTGCTCCATGGTGTTTCGAACACAGTGAAATTAAACAGTTTTGGTCAGATGGAACTATTCCACAGCAACCTATCCCTGAGATCTATCAGGGGGCGCAGGGGAAATAAACACCAGAATCAGGAATAGAATCATGGAACTCTTTGCTGAACAAATACTACGCACAAAATATAACTTGTGAACTAATTTTCAAAAGTGTTATCTTGAGAATAATGATATATAAGGAAATATTTCTGCATAGCATTTGTGTAGCAAATGTGAACTTAGAACCTCCGAGCGGACATGAACTGAAACAACATCTCAATACTAGTAAAAGGACTTCAACTTTATCTTAAATGTGAAATGTGATACTTGGTACTGACATAGGGTCAGAGTCAGTACTGACTTTCACATACACAATCATATCTAATCTGCTTTTGTTATATTACTGGAAGGCAAAAACATTAACTCAAATGGACAGGACTTGATCAGATGACATTCAGTAATATAATTATTTCAGATTTGGTATTAGGTTTTTCCAAATTTTTCAATAGCCTACTAATTTTCATGTGTATTAATAAATGATATATGAGCATAGCCAATATTTATTGTTTGTTTTTATACATGTATAGTACTTGTGTTATATATACATAAAGAATCTTTCATATCCATGTTATTGACCAATCTGTTTTGTCTGCTCAATACTGAAGGTAAAAGGGTTGGAATGTCACTGTAATTGGACTTTTGATGAAATGTTAAAACTGAATGCCAATCATAACTGAGATCATCTATTTTCTACATATTTCAACAACTTTCACTTTTGGATCAGTTTTTTCTGTATTGGTTACATATTTAATTGATTTAGCATTTCCCATTTTTGATTTATCAGAGTCTCTTTATCCAGCTAGTGAGAGACTCTGATTTATATAAGAGAAAAAATGTTCCTAGCCAGCGCATTCTCCAAGTAAATCAATGCATGTGGTGGAATATAAACTATCACTTAAGAATGTACATTGATAACTACAAAGTTATGATTTTTCTTTTTTCCTTATTTCCTGAGTTGTAGATAGGATTTCCACAACATTTTTATCACAAACATGTGTCAATATCATATGTCAAAGAAAAGCTAAACCTTTACAAACAAATAGGTCAGAAGACTAATAAGTGACTAATTATAATACCTCAAGTAACATCTCTTATCATGTCTTATAGACAGTTAAAAGTATTTTACAAGTGACCAAGAGACCTAGGTGGCCTCTTGTACAGGGTGACCAGAAAGAAATGTGTTCTAGCTTAATTCTCAATAATTTTAGTCCAGTTTTTTAGGCACTACCACTAATACTCATATTACTCCTCCCCTGGGTCTACCGGAGTTTCTCTCAGATAGGCCCAAGGTCATTTATTTTAAAGAGGGGTGTATGAAAAAGTTGTTACAAAGGCCCATGGGCATTCATTTTGAGGACTTCTCTTATAACGCCCATGAGTGGGTGAAAACATTGGAGAAAAGGATTAAAATTGCTTTAGAACAGTTATTTTGTAATATCAGTTGGCGAAAACATTGCAAAAGGGGAAAAACAAAAGTGGCAAAGAGAACAGCGAATTGGGGTTAACTTGACATGATGTAGCAAAAAAGTGGTTAATGTTCATTCCTGCATTCATGATACTATTGCATGAGTATGAAGGGTATGTGTCCACTTTAAGATTAATAAATATCACCATGGACAGAGATAACACGTTCCAGCCAAGCATATCTATCTAAAACGAGGCTGCAACGCGGTTAAGACACAATGGCGACTTTGAGGAAGTTTGAAATGGCGGTAAGTTTATCTATAAGCTACATACACCAGCCTATGTCTGCTATAATTATGATAGCATTTACCATTCGGTGGAGAACTTTTCAGAGTATGGCAAAACATATGCAGTACTCATGCAATAGTATCATGAACATGGGCATGAACGTTATCCAATGTGTGACTTTTTGTCATATCTTTGCTACATCATGTCTAGTTTACCCCAGTTCGCTGTTCTGTTTGCTACTTATGTTTTTTCCCTTTCTGAGTGTTTTCGCCCACTCACATTATATCACTGTTTTGAAGCAATTTCAATCCTTTTCTCGAATGTTTTCACCCACTTGGAATTACTTGAGAAGTCCTCAAAATATAACATCCATGGCCCTATTAACGAGAAACTCCGATAGGCCCAAGGGAAGAGTAATTATTATCCCATCGAACGAAGTTCGGAGGGACATAGGGAACGCCTCCGTCCGTCCGTCCGTCTGTCCGTCCGTCGGGGCAATAACTCAAATACCGTTGGCCCGATTTTGTTCATATTTTGTACACATATACCCTATAAGAGTAGAAGTTCTGCTCGAAAGCCGATTTTCAAAATGGCCGCTCATTTCAAAATGGCGGCCATTTTAGTGCCGATTTTACAGTAATTTAGGTGTAATATGTAAAACTGTCATAGCAATATGTTTTAAATGTAAAAAAATTATAAAGGACGTTAATAATGCTACAAATGTAGATTGAAGAAGCACATGGCAGCCATCTTGAAAAATGGCGGCCTTTACTCGTCATTTTACGATTTTTGCTGTAACTCAAAAAATAGTGGAGCGATTTTGTTCATATTTGGTATGTGAATACTATAAGCATTGCACATTGTCTAAAGACACTTTTGGTAGAAGGCGGCCATTTTGAAAAAAAATTGAAAAATGGCCACCATTTTAACGTATTTTACTATAACTCGAAAAGTAGTGGAGCGATTTTGTTCATATTTGGTATGTGAATACTATAAGCATGGCACACTGTCCTATGACACTTTTGGTAGAAGGCGGCCATTTTGGAAATTTTTTTGAAAAGACCGCCATTTTAACGTATTTTACTATAACTCGATAGTGGAGTGATTTTGTTCATATTTGGTATGTGAATACTAGAAGCATGGCACACTGTCCTATGACACTTTTGGTAGAAGGCGGCCATTTTGAAAAACATTTTGAAAAATGGCCGCCATTTAAACGTATTTTACTATAACTCGAAAAGTAGTGGAGCGATTTTGTTCGTATTTGGTATGTGAATACTAGAATCATGGCACACTGTCGTATGACACTTTGGGTAGAAGGCGGCATTGAAAAATGGCCGCCATTTTAACATATTTTACTCGAAAAGTAGTGGAGCGATTTTGTTCATATTTGGTATGTGAATACTTTAAGCATGGCACATTGTCTAATAAAACTTTGGGGAGTAGTAGGCCATTTTGAAAAATGGCCACCATTTTATGTGTGTTATTTTACAAGTACGTGTGCGATTTTTCAAGAATTTTAGAGGTGGCTACTTAAAAGCATATTATTTCTTCTGATGACAACTTGGCTAGTGAGCAACCATTTTGAAAATGGTGGCCTTTCTGGTGTGTTGTTTATGATATTTGCTATTCGTTTGTAAAAATGCCAGCCATTTCTGTTCGATGGGATTCGCTACGCTTTGGCGTTGCCGTTGTTCTGGTTAGTACCAGTGGCGGTGCCTAAAAGACTGGAGGAAAAAATTACTGAAAATTAAGGTAGATAACATTTCTTTCTGGTCTCTTGGTCACTTGTAAAATACAGATAACCCTTATAGACACATGAATCCCCCCGTACAATCCCCCCCTCTGTTCAGTTTATTTTCAATTATTTTTTAATTTAATGTATGCAAACCTTTTTTAAAAAGCTATAGGAATGACATTAATTTTGTGAAGATATTGTCACTTAAACATATTTATTACAGATTTTGTAGACCCCCATTACTTGAAATATAGAAAAATATTGACTTGTGCACATTGGTGGCTTGGCGACTTTTTAAATAGATCTTGTATCTTAGAAGCGTTTTGATTCAAAAAAGATTCTAGAAAACCTAATATAATTTACCATACCATGTGCTTATTTATTTTGCAATGCAATAGTAAATTTTCCTGTTGAATTTAATGAAGAAACCACCCCATCCCACTCCATTCAATTTTCTGATCATGTAAATGTCATTTGATTGTGCCCTGAATTTTTCCCTTTTATGGTATAATGCCTAAAATGGAGTGAAAAAGCAATTTCAATCCTTTTCTCGAATGTTTTGATGTTATGATGTAATGCCCAAAATGGAGTGACATTTTGAGTGCATTTGTTTTTCCTGAACCCAGGTTTCCAGGATTCGCCTTGCATGCCTTCGACTCTTTCTCCCAATGGAGATCAAACATACGACCCCTCCCTTTCAGGGTGAATGCTCTACCACTGGGCTATAGGACAGACTGATTTTTCCACATCAACAGTGACAGTAGGGATTGAACTCACGACACCTCGCTTTACGCGCGATTGCTCTACCACTGAGCTATAGGACTGACTGGCTTTTTCACATCAACATTGCATATATAGAATTGAAGCCATGTCTTACATGCCCAGTTTTCTGAACCCCATATTAATATTTAAGTGACCTGTCTTTCCAGGCTATCAATCATTATTATATTCATGATGTTACATGGACTTTCCCACAGGCCATTCTCCCAAATGAGTTGGTTAAAGGACAACTGAAATAGCTTTTCTCAACTTCAGTACTGTCAACCCCCAAAGATTTTCTCGGTTATAATGAAAACACGCGCTACGCGCTAACGCGCTAGCGCACTAACGCACTGTTCAGAATGATCGTTCCCACAGGCCCAGGAACATGTATAAAAATCGAGTGAGTGAAGAGATTAGGTGGCGCATCAGAAAGCAGAAGTATGAAGAAGCCCAATGTTTGATCGTTAATTGTGCAAAGATTATCGATTGTCAGTGTGTTTCATCTGATTGAAAAGGAAGATAAATAGAAAGTAGCACCTTACAAGATGAATGGTCGCAGATATGCGAATACGCTCCCTATTTCATTGCATTATTTGGGTCCATCCATCGGCGAGAAAAATCCCGTTTCGAAATCTGAGCCGGGGGCCCGACTACTTGACTAATGACTTAATATAATGTTTATTTGTCGCATGTTACCTCTTAATATCAAGTCATGGATGTTTTATATATCTTTACTCTTTGTATTTGAAGTTATATCTCTCAGACTTACCAAACGGTGGGATAATTTGCAGGCGTCGCATTTATATTTTTCCATTTTTCTTTTCGTGCCCGGTTACACCTCTTTCGCTTTCATGGGGGGGGGGTGTATAGGGTTATCGTATAAGAGGAGGGTGAAAATCTATTGTATGACTGCATAAGAGGGGGTAACATTTATCGTATATGGCATCGTATAAGTTAAATAAACATATGTTTTAAAAGAATTAAAGAAGCCTATTATGAAATTTAAACTCGCAGTTTGAACGAATACTGCAGATCCAGCTTATCCCCATAAATTTGGGATTTCAATACACAAGTAGTTGTGGGGACTTGCCCGTAGCCAGCTTTTACCAGGAGGGGGAGCCTTTTTTCCAGGGGAAGCTTTTTTACACTTTTGGCTAATAATCATACAAAAAATTCTCAGAATGGTGAAAAACTGCATGATTTTGAAAGAATCTCTGGCCAGAGGGGGAGCTCCGCTCCCCCAGCTCCCCCTCTGGCTACGGGCCTGGTTGTGGGGGTTGGTTTGAAAAACCAGTCCCACATTTA